TACTTACATTCACTTTTATAGCTTGTTCTTGGTTATGTTATTTCAATAACTGCCTTCTTTGAAGAAATACAATTAATAGTGAAGCTTAACTTATTAAATAAAGCAAATTTTCACCAACTCATTTTGCATACTTGCCTTCGAATTTAGTTTAATAAGATGTCACTGACATAATCATGGTAAAAAAAAAAAAACTCGTTTTATGTCGTGGCATACTAAATAGTTCTAACTAGGTAAATGTTCCAGTGTAATGCTCTTGCCGCATAGTTACAAAGAGCTCGTTACTTTAATATGACTGCATTTGAAAATTCCCTTGGAAACGCGATGATACTTGATAAAGGCTCCATATTTTAGTCAAAAAGAAAAACAGATAGGTTTCTACTGAAACGTTTTTAAGTCTCTTGACCTTTATGTTGGAAGCACACTTTTAGGGAAATGGTGTATTAAATAATAAAACTGCATTTCACACGATGCCAAGGTCATTTTCAACAGAAGGGGGAGCCTTCAATCCCTGGGCTTAGTGCTTCAGAGACCATCGATATATTTTCAATGCTGTAATAAACTTTATGTTCGGTAATTACGGAAGTGGTATTTACACTGTTACGTAACGAAGTCCTCTCAATTGTTTACACGAAACCGCTATAGGTAGTATTAGTAGGCAACATGTTAAGAGTGCAAGCCCGTTGTTTAGTGCGATGAGCTAGGATCGCCATTTTCAAAGGGGTTTCAGAACAGAATTGATCTGATTTAAGATGGTAGTCGCTAGATATCCGGCCGACGTTGATCGTTATTATACTCCTCTTGAAAATTGTGCTATCATACTCGAAAACGATAGCGTTTGATTTTAACAAAATACAGAAGCGAGATATGTAAAACAAATATACTACTAGAACACATACAGTACAAATTATCTTTTCAATGTATTTAGATTCCGAGGTTAACAAATAGATGCGTGCAAAGAAAGGCTACCACAAACTACGATCGTCCTAAATCCAAGACGGCAACTTAATTGTCAAATAACTATCTTTGAACCTAAATAACAACGTAATAGAAAAAAAATTCGGCGCAAACATATCTTGCTAATACTGACCCTAACTCAAGTTTTTCTCTCAACTATTAGCGTGATAGTAAAAAAGCGGATCGCCATATGCGCTTATGTAGGTAAATCGGGAGATCCAGCTGTCACGTATGATGAATAACTTCAATGATGTTCTGCGTTAATACGATTTGTCTTCTTTTTTTGCGTGTCCTTTAGCTTTTAGATATCGTTAGCTGTTGGCTTGATGCTGGCAAATAGGTACATGAAGCATCCTTATTTGTCAAACGCGATTCATGTCCGTGCCCTCACACGTTATACGAGCGAAGCAAACTCCTGTCCGCCCATCTAAGAGGGCTACGCAGGAAAAAACGACGACCTAATTGTTAGATTGCCGTTTTTGTCGTAGTAGCGCTACAACTTTCTGTCCCGCAACAGGATACTCCAGGCTGTAAATGTAAATGAAGACCTTTATGTGAATCTGCTCATTATTTCGGGTTGACAACAATCTTGCTGCAATCAACAACTGCTTGCCAGATTACTGCCAGATCGAGAGCTGGCGTGCTTGTACTAGCATGCAGGTTAGCAACGACTACATTACACTTACTTTGTTTCCCTAATCTGTCGTGCTGATTAGTCTTACAAAACATAATGTAGGGCCACCTTCTGTCAACGTATTGCGTTCACAGATTGCACCCTACTGTTAGGTATACGAAAGTCTACTCATTCGGCTTTATCCAGGGACGTGGCGACCCGTGCTGTACTAACGTGTTAGCAAAACAAGTTGGCTAGACTTTGCCAAATCGAAAGCTCTTCGATCTTTCGAGCGCAACCTGTGGATCAGTGACTGACTTGTAAGGAAGCTGTCACGCACTCTCCAGAAGTAGTGATATGAAACGTGAGGATGTCTCGACTTGTTACTACCTGTGTGGCTGTACATGTATCAACGTGTACATGTGTGCTTGTGTATGAACTAAGAGAGCTACAAATGCAGGGCAGGCGAGGCCACCACAGGCCGCGTCTGTGGCGCACTTTGCTTTGATTTTCGTTCTGGTTTCGAATTCATTTTACGGGCAGCCGAGCGTAAGTTAATTCAGACGCCGATTGGGATGGACGAAGCACGCCTCACGTGCAGTTACGTATTACATGAGCTAGAGGACAGCTGGGGACAATAGCCAGTCGGTCGTGTCACGAATGAAGGACGCGCCGGTATACGTTCGACGCTGCCTTTTTGCCCCTCTTGCTTTTTTATTCTTGAAATTTGCTTTCACTGTCGACTTCCAGCGATGTTAGCCTCTGCTGCAATACACACGTCTCACAATGGTTTTGGACAACAGACTCTTTTAATGTTTATCGTAATCGTGTTCCAGTCAAGTTTAGTCTGTCGTAAACGTAACAGATTGACGCCTTTGGTATTGCATCTAGCCACCCTTTTCTGCCAATGAAAATATGTTGTTACTAAATGTTACTCCGACAATATATTGTGTGTTTTATTACTCACACAACATATTTGTTGATTGGACATTGCTACGTGCGTTGTAGGTTACTTGATACCTGATGTCTGTCCTGATCAAGCAGAAGGCTGTGGTACGCCAGTAGCCGCTATCTGCCTATAAAGGTATATGCCTATAATAGTACGTGCTATAACTATCACACTGTCTGACTGGCCGTAGCAAGAGGTAATATTATTGTTATTATTATAATAAGTGCATTGAGTTGGCAGTTTCTCTCTCGCTCTCTCCCTCTCATCTCGTTTCGTTCTCTTCATTTATGAACTCGCTTCCGGTTGTAGGTTGATTCCGCGTCATGTCACGGCACATCACCATCTCGAATACTGAACATTAGTTCAGTAGATATGTCCGTCATCTAACGAGTGCTACATATACCCATTCTACAGTAAGCTTGTACCTGCAGCCCCACACAGTTAGCAACTGCGTACCCTTTTGTCTGACTATGAAATAGGCTATAATATATGAGACTCTGGTTGTGTTATGAAGGACGATTGCTTGAACCGCTGATGGCTGAACGGTACGTAGGCACGCGAGCTGTTTCATTTGCTGATGGACCATTTGCCATAACGGCAATCATCTCGTAGCCTGTTTCTCCCATCTTCAAGTACAGTATAGACACTGGACATATCGCCATAATAGGCCGCGATATTCTACGTACGAATTGGCATAAACGTGAGTAAACACGATAGTGTGAGATAGAGCCATGCGACTTTGCTAAGAAACAGACGGACATCGACTCACGGACGTATATTCTCTGTGTACACGGGCACAAACTTTTCAATTGTTAGGGCTAAGATATCTCTGATAATGGATTTCGATAGATTTTCCGTCGAAGGAGCTGAATCGAATCGTTTTCTGGCCATTAGAGTATTATATGATAGAGATATTACGTAGGTCAATTTTTTTTTTTTAATTTAACAATTTCGTGTTTTGAACAGACTTTACAGTATACACGAGTTTTCATAACAAAGAGATCCCCAGTGTTTTCAGTTTAAGAATATAATAGGCAATGGCTTTATTTTGAAAACTCGTACATTTTTAATTTTTCAGGCTTGTCCACTTTCTGAAGTGTACACGACCCCTTGTACATATCGAAATTTGGGATCTCAAATTCTTTGTTAAGGAATTGCAACTAGATTCATTTTTTCATGCTTATAACGGATTTGATGTTGAAGAAGACATGCACACGATCGTGCTATTTGAAAAGTTCACCAATCAGGGACGGCTTTCAAAAATCTTCTTTGTGGTTTGCTGCTCTTCGTCAGATGGAAGGTCCTCTTCTACAGTCTTTTCTTTATAACCACTGCTTGTGTTTTCCTACCGTATATAGTGAGTCACTGCTAGCCAAGAAGTAAAAGCTTGGCGAATTTTTTCGATCTGTATTCCCCATCTGCGTAGCTTTGCTAACCCAGGAAATCTACTCAAGAATCAACCCCCCTCTGTTCGTCTCATCGTTTTGTTTGACTGCTGCGCTTTTCGAGATGGTCCAAGCTTAGGATCCAGGGGCCGAACATAAAAACGAGAAAAAAGGTGAGCTAAGCTTTTGCACGCAACCCTACTCTCGTTTGTCCGGTTCATGAGCGCTGAAGTAAGCATAAATCGGTCGAGTGACGCGGTGAAAATTCCGAGGTTTTCCTGGCTCCTGTTTGCCACTGAAATCAACAACCATGACCGCTTGTTCCTCCGACCCCGTCGCTCATTCCGCCAAAGACACATAGCCTAAAAGCCATAGCAACCCAAATATCGGCTAGCTAACAGGAAGCTTTTGCTTCCTTTGCTTTGGTTGCTTTATCTAGTCGGCTCGCTCATTTCCATTGCTTGCGCAAAATTGTCTCCGATGCTGATGCGGCTGTTCAATAGAGCAGACTACGATAGTGGTTGTAGTCGTGTGGATGCGGTGACACTGGTAGCAAGAGCGAGTGTGAAAGGTAGCGCCCTCCGCTGTCATTGCGACCTGAACGACAACGGCGGACCTGTCTGTCCTCTTTTTCCCGACGTATTCTTCAGCCCTTGGATTCGCTCTACGAAACTAGCCGAGCGGTAGAGAATTCGCCCCAGGAGACTCGTTCTCCTGTGCTCGACACCCTCCAACAAGTGAAGGTGCACTCGCGCAGTTTCCGACTTTCTCACACTATTTGGATATCTTCAGGGGAAAAGTAAAAAGTTCAATAGGGAAAACAGATAAAAAAAAAACATAGACACAGGAAATAAATAGAACGAAGGATCAGAAGGAAGGAGAGGTGGTGATGCGAAAAGGAAAAGGAGCAAGGGATACATGTAGAAAAGGAGTGCTACGTAAGAGGATCCTACTATCTCGAAGGACTATATGGCGGCAACAGAACCAACAATGCGGCGGTTATACAGGAGTGCTTTGTGTCTTGGAAACCAGCTATCAACATGATGATAGGAGACAAAAGCGGAGATTTTGAGGGAATCTGAAAACGCCTCATAGAAGGATCAACTCGACAACCTTTATATCTCAACGAGTTCGGCTGCCGATATTCCGGTTAGTCAAGAATAGCTAAGCAGTCTCGTTTCGCCTCATTAATATGGCATTCTAAACTACACAGAGTTGTTAAAGTTGCTCTATTTTGACTTTCTTCTTTTGCTTTTATCAGGAAGACGCCTGATGTCAGCCTGTCGCCTGTTCCTATTTACAACAACTTAGACATAAAAAATGACCTTATATTAAAAGCGTTGCCTTTTTAACTTGATCTTTTATTCACTAGTAAGATTTCGAGACCATTGCCAAGCACCTGCAATATTTTGGCTACCTATGATTTTTCTACAGTCCTGTATGCCTTTGCTACTTTGCGTATACTTCAATGCTTTCTCTACCAATAAGATTTACAGTCGAGCCATGGAAAATAAACCGGTGTGCATCGCACTGGTTCTGCTTCTTGCAATACTCTACCGATTTCGTCCCTGATTCTCATAGTTCTTGAACAACGCAAAGCGTAGTTACGCTCATTTTTATGAGAGAATACCTTTGGTTATGTAGCACCATTGGTGTAGCTCATCAGGGTCCTATCAGTGAACACGTGCCGTGCGGACTTCTCATAGGGGACAGCTTTCCTCGATGGACTTTGTGATCCGACAAGCAACTTAGTTAACTTAGTATATTGATTGAAAAATCTAGAAAGCTCCTGTCATATTTAGATCTAGCCCGGAAAAAGTCAGAAAAAATAAAGAGCAAATTTGATTGTGAATTGTGTTCGTTCGTCTTCGACGAAATCAGCCTATAGCGTTTCGTTGCATTATGATGCACCTGTACGTCACGGGCTCAATAGCTATGACACCAAACTGAGAACTAATCAACCTGGTTGGGTCGCAAAGAGTTCAAGCTGCAAAATCAATTTAGTTAGTTACATAGGCAGCAGTAAATAAAAAGCCAATCCTATTAGGAGTAATTGCAATAATCGTAATAACTAACAATATCTCATAAAGCTATCGTTTTCAATGGAGACAAAAATAGATACCTATATATCTACTCACAGATATTATACAACCTATGTGGATAAAAGAAAGTTATATGTATTCCTCAAATCTAAAACGTATTTCATCTATATAACCCATAACGAGCTATATTCAATAATCGTAGACATATAAAAAATCCAGCAAACTATATTATACTATTTACAGAAATAAATGTTGGACCTTAGAAGTGAAACTTAACTTTAGTGTCGTTTTCTAAAATTTAGACAAAAATACTTAGTTTTATCTAAACATGCTTAAAACATTAACTTTTGAAATTAAACTTTCAAATTGTCCGAAAGATTAGTGTTTTACGTTACTACACAAATCCATATTGCTCTACCAGCGCAATGCTTAAGAGCCTAGAACAATAAAATTTCTTATTGCAGACATTATGGAAATGACAAAGCTTCGATCTGTTAGTTCCAGCCATTGTTCTAAACATAACTCAAATTTGATGGAATCATTTTCGTTGGGTCAATCGATGTAACGTTATAGTATTCGGCACTAAGGGTTCTTTCGGAAGCAAATCCTACCAGACTTTTAATAGATCCTAAATGGTTAACCGATTCCTTTGAACGCAACTATTAGCTTAAGTTGAACATTCAACTTAAAAATTAAGACAGAACCTAGGCAAAATTCTCATTAATATTCATTCGCTTAAAAAATATGGTCTGATGTTTTATCTCGTCCATACGATCGCGAAATCATAATCATATCTTTCAATCAATGTTCAATCAAGGCTTCGCTTCCGCCGGAGTGTTTCACTTGCGAAGGATAACATTAACCGGCCGCATCGATCATCTCCCTTTGGTCTGATTAAAATAGTATTCGATTGGCTTACTTTCTCAATTACAGCATTTAAGAATACAGATATGTCCCTCTAAAAGAACAATGCCTTTAGTTTTTGCTCCAAACATTAAGGCTACTTTACGTTTTGTAACTTTATGTCCATATTTCTAAGTTACCTTACGGCCTTCAATATAAATTCATTGCAGCACAGGTGCTGCGTTCCGCTATAAATGTTTTTTGTATGCTTGGCTTACACGAGAGTCGTACATGTCAGGGAGTGATAGGAAGCCATTCCCAGGATGTAATACTAATAATAAGAAGTCCGTCTTACCGAACTGAAAAGAGATAGAGCATTGTAACAAACGTACTGCTTCAAAGAAGATTATTTCTCGAATGTTAGTGCTGTTCTTGACCTATAGAAATGTGAGAGGCAACCTATTCGCACAAGGACATGCATATTTTTATAAGAAACCTTTTATTTGCCAATTAATCACGCGTGAAAGACAATACTCGGAAGTAATAATAGTTGGCCGTGAGGCTTGCGTCGTCCTATGTGATATTACATATGGTACAGATAGCTATTCGTATACGACCATAGTTCATCATAAAAGAAAAGAAGTTACTGAAGAAGTACTACGATAAAAATAAGGAATAATTACCGAGTTAATTCCTATTCACTATGTTAACACTTTACACTATCCCCTTGTCAATTGTTGTTCCAGGTAGTCACTGCTGTATAATGCCGTCGGCAGTAGTAGGTCACCATGACAGTAGAGGGCGCGCGAGTAGCCGAAACAGCGACACCAACAAGAACATCGGCCGCCTCTGCAGCTGTAGTGACGGAAGCGTCATTGATAGAATACGTAGCTTGACGTTTGATGGTCAAACGCGACGAATACAAAAGGAACAGCATCAGCAGCAGCCACAATTACAACGGCAGCAGCAGCGGCAGCGCTACAACCGATCTTGTCTGCTACGCTGTGGAACATTTTTGACGTCCTTATGGTCGGCTAGAATGGGGCTAGGCAGATGGCCAGGTTTCGCCCTCGTCGTCTGTCTTCTACTCGGGACTCTGAGCAGCTCTACTGGAGCTTCAATGACTTTGAATAACGCCGGAACCAGCTCAAGTAATTCAAATAGCCATGACGAAAACAGCAGTGGACGCGTAGGGCAGAGCAAGAGCCTTGCTGCCCCCAGCACTCTTTGCCCACCCAGATGCAAGTGCTACCCCAACAAACAGGCTAGTATTAACAACAATACCAACAACATGTTCGCGTGCAAGAAAGAGACAGAGAAACAAAAAAGAAGACGAGAGTTCAAGCGATTGGATGACGACACAAGCGCAAACCGCGGACCTAGTTTTATTTAGTTCCAAATATCTAAGTTGTTGAGGTAGTGAATTATAACGATAATACGTACACATTTCGATTTGGCTTAATGAGAGTTTATTAATGACCTAGAAGCAGCTGCTTGATCGGATTGGGCAGATAGTCAGGCGGGGGATCGGGCACTTATGCGTGAAGTTCAACGTATTTGAACTTTTTTTTTATATAATATGGCAGGTTTGATACATTTAGCCAGTCGATACAATGGCGGAGTAGACGAAACTGCTTGATTATTTTAAAGGCACGCATGTGGGTTCTGGCTGCGGAAAGCATATTAGTCCTGATGACACAGAGATGGCAGAAAAGTTGATGCTTTCGCTATTGATGTAACTCTTTTGTTACATAACCACGTTACGAATAAAACTGATTTTTTTATTACACAGTGTTCCATGGGATGTGTTAAGGAGCTGACATTTTTTTGCGTCATATTTCTTTTATACAATGAAAAATCCATCTAAAACTTTTGTGGGTTTTCAAATTTTTAGGCGAGAGCAGCCTCTTTATAAATATACCATTTTGGGCTACCCTGCCCATATGCAAATGAATCAAGAAAAGAAAAGTAGGTGGGCCATATTTTCGGTATAGACAGAGATACTCTTTAATCTTGGAAATGGTTTAGTCGTCTGCTCGCGTCCAATGTCATCGACACACTAGTTCGCATTATCGTGCATGCACGTGACACAGTTACCGCGATTAAGGATAGAAACGTGACGATCTATCATAAGACAAAGCTATCTGATCAGCCCCTGGCAAAGTACTATAGTAGTACCCTAAAGTATACGTACCCTACTACGTACCGCTACGTTTATTAACACCACACGTAGTTAATGTTTCAGTTCGAGCGAATAGTAGAAAATCGGAGTATTATGCTTAATTCGTATACGCTCTAAATAGCCGCTCTAATGATCCTGTACTAGTAGTTCTACAAGCATTTTGTACCGCTTGAAGCAGAGTGAAGGAAGACACAATTTGCTACAAGCGCTGATGCCATTGTGTGCGTACCCGTCTTATCACATATGGACTCTTCTCGCATAGTTATTTTTGCCACTGGCTGTGTAATCGTTGCACGCGAAGATCGTGTCTCGGCAGGCGACGAAACAGGCAATGTCGAAAAGTCGGGTCCAACAATAGTTTGTTAGCACGAGTAATAAATACACCCTTTAAACACATAGCCCCAGCATTACTAATTACGTTTGTCGAAGCATTGAGCTTAATGCGACCATAAAATATTTTTTACTTTCGTTATGGTCGACAAAATACTATCTCGATATCTAACTAAAGATGAATACTAAAACACAATATAAAATCCGGTTTATTTACGGAACTACACTTTGGCAACGCTTAAGTTTGCGTGAAACTCGCAATGCAAGAATCGAAAGCGCGTCTATAAGACTCGTATTTTTTGAGACGGAATATTTATTCGACCACGTAAAATTCGAATTATATGTCCTCTCATACTTCATACGTGGCCTTTTATTCTCCCTTAAGCACCACACAAAATGCGTCCTGCCTATAATGATTTTACTAGTGTGACATCTGCTCTAAGTTACAACATCTCCTAAGTAAAGAGAAAATCTGTCACGGGATCTTGCGCCATTGCCTCCGGCAGATTGTAGTTGACCAAACGATGCTACCATCTGTATAAGCGCGCAAGCAATAAATACGTTTCAGTTCCTTGAAAGAAAATTTGAGAGTGAACTTACGTTACTTAAATTTAGGCTAGTTCGTTAAAAAAAAGTTGCATTTGTGCAATTATAGTGGTTTATTCTTATCTCATAGTGTAAAGTAATGTATTTAGCAATTGGTTCCCGTTTCCATCAACACATCCAATAGCATCGTTAGGTATTATTCTACCGTACGAATCGTCCTCAGGGTAAAACGATATCTGTCTATGCCCGGGTTCAAACCTAAGCCACAACGTATCTCTAAGACTAGCAGGCAAATACGTAACCTGCCAAGTTATCACAGGAACCGATCGACAGGCAGGGCTCGATGTTTTAAAGAAGATTGTTAAAACATATGGCGTATTAGACGATCAGATGTTCTCTGATGTTTCGAAAAAACTGATTTACTTTTTAAATTTTTTTACATATGAAAAAGCACAGAAAACGTAGCATCGTTTAGAACTCAGGTTAACGGCTATTCAATTTTTATGCATTTCATAACTAACTCGTGTCCTGTGATAAGCATGCCTTGTAACTTCTTGCTTCATCTCCCACAAAAAATAACAGTTTACCACGAACGATACAAATTGCGAAAATATTATATTTTTTAATGAAATTTCTGTATCTGTTAGAGGCCAACGGTAAGGGGCTATGGGTGTTATGCCGCCGAGCTTAAAGACGACAACAAAATACAAAAACTTTCGAATTGAATACTACGTTCCTCTCTGCTTGTTTTTAGAAGACACAGTTTGCAGTTCAGTACTCCCTCATCCCACCGACTATTTAGTTAGTCCTCTTTGGCCATCTGCCTTTCCCCCAATGTCTGGTATCAAGTGCCTATGCAACTACTCTTTTAGGCATTCGTCTGATCAACCTTATGCAGGTTAGCCATGCTGAGTCCCGCCGTCGTAGGCGTGCCACGCAACCAGTGAAGTCGGGTCTATTCTGCCAATCCTTTGTCGGGTGTGCTTTTGTTTGTGAGGGTAATTAGGTTTAATGTCCTATACCCGTTAAGTCTTCTGTGTTGACGCATGTGATGATGGGACTGCATTTTGGTGTGTCTGCTTATGTAGGATGCTTCTAGTTACGTAACCGACTTGTTTCCGCTAGGCTGCTGTGCAGAACATTTTCCCTAACAAAAACCTATGCAGCCTACTACAGCCAACGCCCTGGAGGGCATCCAACGATACAAAGTGCAGTTTGCCCAATCCGTGAGAGACTTCCGAAGTTTGTGTTACTCCTAGAGTTGTGATCTACGGTGTTCTCTCGGGGCACTGTCTACCATCTGTGTGCTTAGACGTTTACTGACTATATATATATA